ATGCTAGCGAGACTCGAACATACCGGTCCAAACTTTGCTTTTTCACGATTGGGTAACGAAGTTGGCAGCCTTGGTGACAATGATACGACAGCGATGGTGCCAAAACAGACTTATGGCAATTTTCCATCTGTTTACCTGTCAAAAGTCCTTCCGGTTCTCGTACGCCTTTATCTTCAGTGCGCTAGCGCGACGGTCAGACGCAACACCGTCGAGTTATTGAAGAAGGCAATGCGCTGCTGTACCAGCGACGTGCTCAAACCGCTGTGTGCCGAGACCGACTTCGGTACGAACATCGTCGAAGTACTGTCGATCATCATCGACCCGGACAACGAAAGTGATGCAACCATCATGAATGGGTTGCTGATGGCCACTCAGCTGCTGTCGAAGAACACGGACTTCTTCGCGGAACGTTTTTTCCAGTTTGGCCTGACTGAGAAAATCAAGAAATTGATCGGAGAAGCCACGCCTCCTACCGTTGCTACGAATGACGGAACCAGCAACCAAATGGAAAGTATGCTTTTAGAGCGTTTGTACCGTTGGAACGAGTGGCGACTATTCGGTGCCGATGAGTCTCTGTATGTTTGGTGCGACATGTGCGCGCTTGAATTCTCTAACGGAAGCAATGGCTGGTTCCGTTATATGATCGACGATAAGCTGTACACAATGTATTCAAGTGGTAACCCAGATACGGTTACGGGCAGTAGTCACAATCGGGCGTTGTTCGTCAACCGAATGTATAAAACACTGCCTGCTGCGTCAGCATCGAACAGCGATGAGGCTCTGCCCAAGGCCATCGAGTTGTTCGACGGTGGACGACGGTCGAAAATCATGTCTGGCAACTGGGTGATTAAGGCAGTTGGCACCGACGAAATTGTCATCTTCAAGGCTGACGGCTCAGCACAACGCACTACTATCCGAAGCGATGTTGGCGGCTTTGTTTTTCGCTCAAACGACAGCGTTCAGTACTCAGTGCTGGCCAAAGAACCGCTACAGCCGGAGTTGTTCCACACTGGGTGGATGCAAGCGAGGAAGTTGCCATTTAACACGGGCGGGGTAGGTACTCCGAAGTGCAAGAAACAGACGGCCGTGGCCGACATGGCTGCCAGTGTCTACCACAAATACCTTGAACGCTGTTGCAGTGACTTCCAGCCGTACCTCAATAGACTTAACGCCTTCGTATCAGACGTGACTGCAACTGTATCGTCGCAGATGGACAACGATGCCAAGGCCACTTCGCCTTTGCCTAACTTAGATCAAGTTACGGAGCTGGTCAGACAGCTGAAACAGCTGCTATCAGTGGATAACGTGTTGTCGTCTAACAACCTGCTGAACAGTGGCTTGGTGTCGTCGTTGTTCTCGTTGCTGTCCTGTGTGCTGAACAACCGCAAGTTGTGGCCGGTGTTCGCTGAATGTTTTTTGTCCACTGCCGATGGCAGCGATCACTGCGCTTTTAGGACGATCGTACGTAAAGTAGTACATGTGCTCGAGTGCTATGAAAAGCTTCCCCTGTATCTATACGACATCTCCAGTTTGACCAGTGGTCTTTCGCGCAAATTTAAGCTGATACTCGCACGGTCACCGAGTGACCGAACATTGTTGGACAAAACCGGCAAGCGCTTAAAGGTCGAATCCCTGGTTACTGTCGCCAGCATCAAGGAACATGTGCTACGTATGACCCTTGACAGGTGGTACAATAATGATCGAAAGACGTTCGAATTTGTTCGCCATTTCACCGAAAACCACGGCAAGCCGTTGACGTTCGACATCGACGACGACGAAGACGACCAGGTAGAGGAAGGCGATGGCGAAGATAACGACGACGATGAGGACAGTGGTGGTATTCTCGCTTGGGTGGGCACAAACGGAGACAGCGTCCGTCGGTGGTATAACCCGGCTAAGTACGGCCTCGTCCGAATGATGGCTGGTGAACAGTCATTTTCGCTGGAAAAGCCAGAAAACTTTTTCAGCCGACGCTACATCACAGCTGGGCCGCACAGCCACGACGACAGGTATTGCATACCATCGAGTGTAAAACTGCCAGTTTTGCTTTATTCATTCTTGAAGGCCAACACTGTCCTTGCTTGTTATTTTTTAGTTAGTGTGGCTTCATCAGAATCTCCTCTAAATCAGAATGAAATGTCTTTTCAGATAGCCTTACTGAAAAATATATGCCTGAGAGAAAGAAGGAAGGAAGGTTTGTAATCGTTGGATCGGTCTTATACATTTTCATGATGGCGCCATTTCTCGCGTCCTTTTCAGAAAGTTGATGGTGGGACTCAGATCTCCATTTCCATCGGCAAGAAATGCTTTATTTTAAAGGCCGATTCGAAAGCAGATATGTGGCTAGCACAGTGATAAGCATTTATCAATCTCAGAATGAAGAAAGGCGTGATCCGGCCTGGGCTCAAATCCGGGATCTATCAGTTCTGAGTTAGATGCTCCATCGACTGAACAATCCCTTACAGCTTACAGAAATTACACATGACTTTTTAAAAGTAGTTGGCAAGCTGATACAGAGGGAAAATTTTAATTGTGACCCCTCGGTCTCGAGGCATATGCATTCCTCAGGGAAATAATATTAACTACAATTTAAAGCGAGATCAATAGACACTGTACTGGTGTAAACAATATTGCGTACCATCATGAAAATATCCTATTTCTTTTTGTATCAAGCAAGACACGTGACTAACGCATAACTAGCCTTAATTCCTCTGATCATTTGCAAATTCTGTATCCCATATCTTGTTCATTGCGAAGTAGTCTTAAAACGCATAGAATATTTTATTTTAGAAAGTCTTGGATTTGCATTGACCTGGGTCTTTACGTAGTCCCGAGTGCTTACCTCCTGTACCATTCTCGTGGTTCTTGTAAGCTGCCTCTTGGAAGCTGGTTGTTTCAAATGTCTAACGACGGCATCACATGGACGACTTTACACGAGCACGCAGAAGAGAAGGTGGCGACTGAACCTGGTGGTTCGGTGGTAGTTACGCTGAAAGTTCCGAAGACGGGACATGCCGGTTGGCGCTATGTCATGATCAAACACGCTGGTAAGTGAGTCTGAGCTCTGATCAATTGAGAAAAGTTTAAATTTTGTTAAGTTGCGTAAATTTTTATTGGAAATGAAGATTATTGACAGTTTTTGTATTATTTATGATTTTATATTCTGTTATGTACTCTGTGCTACTTTATATGGCTGAGTTGTTACAACGGTCTTACTAGTGTTCGCGAAAAAGCCGTAGCGTAGTTCAAATACTTAGAGATATCCAACATATCAAATTCAGTATAGTTTTACATCGGTAATACTATGAATTCTAGAAACGGTAGACAAGCTCTTTCTGGATCATATTTACTGACGAGATTTGACTACCTGACTTGGACAGTGTAACCATATTTACACTTCAGATTCGAGAATGAAAAGTAGTACAGTAGTTCTGCATTTCTCAACTAGCGATATTCCAGTGTGTAACGTTTACAGGTTATTAGGCATCATTTGCCCCTCAGTGATTCCGGCAAACTGTTTGCGAAGGTGGTGCTCTTTTATTACTAGAAGGATATGTTGTCACTGTAGATTCATTATCGGCCCAATACTCTTGTTAACGACTGTTTAATATATTGTTGCGTTAAGTCCTGTGCATGAACGTAGCACCGTATTTTCTTTGATGCTGCCGTCCCGTAGAAGCATCGTCTGTCTTACGAGAGTGGGGTACTAATGCCTTTAAATTTTTATTTGGCAAACTCTTTTAAGGTGAATGTTATGTAGCAAACATAGTGACTCCCCCCTTTCTCCAGTGCTCTTCCACAATCATTGTATGATAGGAGTTCATTTTCCTGGACAGGGCTTTATGTAAACATAGCTGCTTAAGATTAAAAGGGAATGGACTTGAAAATAGTATGGAATAGACGCTGATGTCCTTGAGATCATTCGCCTGTGTTTCATTAATGAAATTTTCCTGACTCCTGACTTCACTCGCGGTTTCCGTAGGGATTGAGAAAATCACAACATTGTATTTCGCCCACTAATTTCTGTCCACAAATACGTCGGCTCCTGTTCATCTTGGTTCCGCTTGTGAAGGATGAATTTTGACGTCCATATAATGCTACACTTGGCGAATTCGTTCAAGATGTGCTTTAATGTTAATGATTAAATTGAATTAGCAAAGCAGTTCCATAGTCGTTCATTTCAGGTCGAAACGCCGGTTCATCTGCACATTGTCTTGCCATATCCGGTTTTGAAATTTATGGCACTGTTCTGCACGCTTATACTGATTTTTCTCTTCTGGAAAAGGATAACATGTTGCGTCCTAACAAAAGGTGAGCGGAATTACTTGTTTTCACTGAAATCTCCGGATATATGCCTTTAGCGTAACATTTATCACTGTATTGCTTTGATTCATTTTAGGGTAGTAATATTATGCAGTATTTGTGCATAGATTTTAGTTCCCATGATTACCTATATGGATTTAATTCAATGATTGGTGTAGTAAGATATAGCTGTATTATTTATATTGTAAATGCGTGAAATAAGTGAATGTGAAAGACGCAAGTAAGCGAAGGGAGTATAGAAACTGTGTAGTAGGGTGAAGTGACGGTTGAACAGAAGGACAGACTTGGGAAAGACGGAAGGCAGAAAGATAGGAAGAGAATAGCGAAGGGAAGAATGATGCTTAAGAAGCTGGAAAGCGACAACTAGAAAAGTAGGACGAATTTAATGCCCCAAAGCAAGGAGGCTTGGAGGCTGAAAATTAAAGTACCGAAGGAGGACGGCTTCTACATATTCATAACGGGCGCTATTCCTGACACATCTGGGGCGCTTTAGATTTTCGTATCTTCGATCAGTAGATGTTGGGCTTTATTTTTTATGACCGTTCTTCATCTAGTGGTCACCTACTTTCTTTCCGTACGTAAAGGTGCCTCAGAATAAAGTGTAAACAATGTTATTGGCTACTTCTCGACGGACTGCGAGTTTGGCACACTACCAATAAATAATCTACCCTTC